TAGGAAGGAATTTTTCACAAAGAGTGGTCGGGCATTGGAACAGGCTGCCCAGGGAGGGGGTGGAGTCCCCATCCCTGGCTGTGTTTAAGGGCCGTTTAGATGCAGTGCTGAGGGACATGGTGTAGGGGAGGACTTTGTAGAGTAGGGGAGATGGTTGGACTCGATGATCCCAAGGGTCTCTTCCAACCTAGACCATTCTGTGATTCTATGACACCTGTCCCGGCTGCAGGTTCCCAGACCAGGAGGTGAGGAGGACGGCCGTGCAGTGGATCGACTCCATCTCCGACACCGAGCTGCTGGACTACCTGCCCCAGCTGGTCCAGGTACGTGGTGGGACTGGGATGTGGCATGGGGTGCATGCCAGAACCGGGATGTGGCACGGGGTGCATGCCTGTCCCCCCATGCCCCAAAACTGTCCCCCCTCCAGGCCCTGAAGTACGAGTGCTACCTGGACAGCCCGCTGGTGCGCTTCCTCATGAAGCGGGCGATCTGCGACCTGAAGATCACCCACTACTTCTTCTGGTGGGTTTGGGGGGGCCGGGAGCGGCAGTGAGGGGGGGACCCTGGGGCTTTTCTGACCCTCCCATGCTCCTGCTCCGAGCAGGCTGCTGAAGGATGGCCTCAAGGACTCCCAGTTCAGCATCCGGTACCAGTACCTGCTGGCGGCCCTGCTCTGCTGCTGCGGGAAGGGGCTGCGGGAGGAGTTTGACCGGCAGTGCCTCCTCGTCAACACGTTGGCCAAGCTGGCCCAGCAAGTGCGGGATGCCACCCCCTCCGCTCGCCAGGTAGGTGCTGGGGTGGTAGGAAAGGGTGCAGGGGGTTGCTGGGCTGTGTCTCAGCACCACCCAACCCCTCATCCCATGCCCACCCCACAGGGCATCCTCCGTGAGGGGCTGGAGGACGTGAAGCAGTTCTTCAAAGCCAACGGGTCGTGCCGGCTGCCGCTCAGCCCCAGCCTGCTGGTGAAGGGGATCGTGCCCCGGGTGAGTGCTGGGGCTGGGGGTGTCAGGGGGGTCCTTTGCCTGCACCCGCCTCGCCCTGACAAGGCTGCACCTTCCTGGTAATGTTCAAGACCAGGTTGGATGGAGCTTTGAGCAACCGGGTCTAATGGGAGGTGTCCCTTCCCAGGGGAGGGGGTGGAACTGGATGGTCTTTAAGGTCCCTTCCAACCCCAACCATTCCATGATTCCTCTCCATGGCAGGACTGCTCCTATTTCAACTCCAACGCCGTCCCCCTGAAGCTTTCCTTCCAGAATGTTGATCCCCTCGGGGAAAACATCCGAGTCATCTTCAAGGTGAGCCCGTCCTCCCGGCGATGCCCAAACCCCTGGCATGGCTGGCCCCAGCCCGCGTGGGGCTGGCTCGGCTTTGCCCCCAGCTCTGATGGCTCTTCCCCCCTGTGCTGTGCCTGGCAGTGCGGCGATGACCTGAGACAGGACATGCTGACGCTGCAGATGATCCGGATCATGAACAAGATCTGGGTGCAGGAGGGGCTGGACATGCGCATGGTCATCTTCCGCTGCTTCTCCACTGGCCGTGGACGAGGTAACCTGGCATCGGGGTGTCCCCCAGTGGCATCAGGCCCCAGGTTGTGATGTCTTGGGCTGGAGATGGCACAGGAGGTCCTGGGGCTCTGCTAGAGAGGAGCTACTGAAAGTAGCTCTGATGCACCTTTGGGTCTGATTCCAACAACCCATCTGTGACTTTCTAGGCTGTCACTCAACGTCGATGGCTGGGGAGCGGCTGGGTTGGTGGCAAAGTGGGGTCTGGGGTCTTGGTGCCCCCCAGGCAGGATGGATGGGTCTTACCCTGCTGTCTTGGCTACCAGGTATGGTGGAGATGATCCCCAATGCCGAGACCCTACGCAAAATCCAGGTGGAGCACGGCGTGACGGGCTCCTTCAAAGACCGGCCGCTGGCAGACTGGCTGCAGAAACACAACCCTGAGGAGGACGAGTACGAGAAGGTGAGGAGGAGTCTGGCCAGGTCCCCGCTCCTCATACTCCCCTCTCCAGGGATAAGTCCCCCTCACTTCCCAACATCTTGAACCTTTCACCACACCTGGTGACTCCATCCCTCCCTCCCTCCTCCCAGGCCGTGGAGAACTTCATCTACTCCTGCGCCGGCTGCTGCGTGGCCACCTACGTGCTGGGGATCTGTGACCGCCACAATGACAACATCATGCTGAAGACCACTGGCCACATGTTTCACATCGACTTCGGCAGGTTCCTAGGCCATGCACAGATGTTCGGCAACATCAAGAGGTGAGAAGTGCTGCCAGCATCTCCTTCCCTCTTGCCTGGGCTCATCCCTGTGGGGCAATTTCTCTCCTCATCCCAGTGGTGGGTGACTCCCAGCCATGGTCACTGTGTGTCCCTCCCTCCCTGGTACAGGGACCGGGCGCCGTTTGTCTTCACCTCGGACATGGCGTATGTCATCAACGGGGGGGACAAGCCCTCCAGCCGCTTCCATGACTTCGTCGATCTGTGCTGCCAAGCCTACAACCTCATCCGCAAGCACACCCACCTCTTCCTCAACCTTCTGGGGCTGGTGAGAGCTGGGGGGCCACATGCCCGTCCCCCCCAGATGCAGCAGTGGGGTCCTTCTGCCACCGCCTGCCCTCACCCCCTGCCTTGCCTCCCAGATGCTGTCCTGTGGCATCCCCGAGCTTTCCGACCTGGAGGACCTCAAGTACGTCTACGATGCCCTGAGGCCACAGGACTCTGATGCCGATGCCACCACCTACTTCACCAGGTAGAGGACATGGGTGGGTGATGGGGCAGGAGAGGACAGAGGGAGCCCGTGGAGGGAGGCATGGCCACCGGGTTGGCATGCTGACGGGCTCCTCCGTGCTGAGCACCTGGTGGCCTTGTTGCAGGTTGATCGAGTCCAGCCTGGGCAGCGTGGCCACCAAGCTCAACTTCTTCATCCACAACCTGGCACAGATGAAGTTCACGGGCTCCGATGCCCGCCCAACCCTCTCCTTTGCTCCCCGCACACACACCATCAAGACGTCCGGCCGGATCCGCGATGTCTTCCTCTGCCGCCATGAGAGGGTCTTCAACCCCAACAAGGGCTATGTGAGTGGGGACAGGCGAAGGGACAACTCGGGTGGTTCTGTCCAGGTTCTCCTCCCCTGCCCCATATGGGCTCGGGGCACCCCAGGGTCCCCATCCCATGTCTCATCCCCATCTCTCTGCAGACCTACGTGGTGAAGGTGCAGCGGGAGAGCCCGGGCGAGGTGGTCTTCGTGCAGCGCACCTTCGAGGAGTTCCAGGAGCTGCACAACAAGCTGCGCCTCCTCTTCCCCTCCTCGCTGCTGCCCAGGTACCCCTGAAGTCCCCCTGGCAGACCCCCGGGGCTCCCCGCCACCCCTGGGGCTTTGCTGAGTGTCTGTCCCCACAGCTTCCCCAGCAGGTTTGTCATCGGGCGGTCGCGGGGAGAAGCGGTGGCCGAGAGGAGGAAGGAGGAGTTGAACGGCTACATCTGGCACCTCATCCACGCCACCCCTGAGGTGGCAGAGGTACAGAGATGGGGGGGGTCTCACTGGGGCAGAGGGAGGCTGCTGCCTCCCAAGAGGTGGGGACGGTGCTGGGGACACCAGCGAGGTTGGCTTGGGTGGGAGAGTGCATGGAGGCCAGTGCACCACCTAAAGCATCATGGACCATGATGGTGCATCACCGTGCACCAGTCCCAAGCGGTGGGGGACACAGTCACTGATAACGTCACCTCCTCACCCCACAGTGCGACCTCATCTACACCTTCTTCCACCCCCTTCCACGGGACGAGAAGGCAGCAGGCACCAACCCAACCCCAAAACCGGCAGGTAGGGGGGCTGGTGGTGGGGCTGGTGGCAGTGCTGGCACCATGTGGGGTGATGGTGGGGGGCTCCTGTCCCACCTGCGCCCCTCCTCTCCTCCAGATGCCACGTGGGCTCGGCCCCTGGGGAAGGTCGGCGGGGAGGTGAAGCTCTCCATCTCCTACAAGAACAACAAGCTCTTCATCATGGTGATGCACATCCGGGGGCTGGTAGGTGCGCGGTGCCTGGTGGTAGTGGGGCAGGGGTCTGCCCCACCAGTGTGTTTATGGGGTGCTCCCTACTCTGCCCCACAGCCAGTGTTGCAGGATGGCAATGACCCTGACCCCTACGTCAAGACCTACCTGCTGCCTGACCCCCAAAAAACCACTAAGAGGAAAACCAAAGTGGCCCGAAAAACCTGCAACCCCACCTACAACGAGATGGTACGTGGGGTGGAGGTGGAGGTGGACATGGGGATGGGGATGGGGATGGGGATGGAGGTGGACATGGGGATGGAGGTGGAGATGGGGATGGGGATGGAGGTGGAGATGGGGATGGGGATGGAGGTGGAGATGGGGATGGGGATGGAGGTGGAGATGGGGATGGGGATGGAGGTGGAGATGGAGATGAGGATGGCGATGGAGATGAGGATGGCGATGGAGATGAGGATGGCGATGGAGATTGGGATGAGGATGGGGATGAGCATGGGTATGGGCATGGAGATGGAGATGGGGGAATCCAGGGGGACTGTGGCTGATGGTCTTCCCCATCCTACCCCCTAGCTGGTCTACGATGGGATCCCCAGGGGGGACCTGCAGCAGCGGGAGCTGCGCCTGAGCGTGCTGAGCGAGGAAGGCTTCTGGGAGAACATCCTCCTCGGGGAGGTCGGCATCCGCCTGCGGGACCTCGACCTGGCCCAGGAGAAGATGGGCTGGTTTGCCTTGGGATCCCGTGGCCACGGCACCCTCTGAGGTCCCACCACTGGGGCTGGGGACCCACGGCACCGCCGCCGCGGCTCTGCCCACACCGGGATGTGCCCGTAAGGACCGGGCACCCACGGGCGCTGCCGCAGGCGTCTTCTTTTTTAAGTTTACCTTGTGTCAAGGGAGCAACGCGGGGAGGGAGGGGCAGGGAGGACCGGTGGGGCACTTCGGGGGGGTATTTCTTCCTTTGGGATATCTGTATTTTAATTTTTTTTAATAATGAGTAGCGTGCACCGGGGTGGAGAGGAGAGGGGAGGTGTGGTGGAGGTTCACTGGGGGTGCGTGTACCCGCAGAGCCCCGGGTACCGCTCCAACTGGGAGCTGCCCACCTGGATCCGGGCAATTCCCATCCCGGGGAATTCTCTCCCAAAGGAGAGCGGTGTGGGGGGTCTGTGCGTGGAGCCGGTCCCGTGTGGTTGAACCCTCCAACGCCACGGGAAGGGGACCACCGGCCACCCTTCCCTGTCCCCACGCCGGTGGGGACATCCGTCTCCTCATCTGCCATCCGGCCCCGGAGCCGGGGACGCCGGGGTGCGGGCTTGGTGCCTGTGGTGCTTTGTTTACAGCGAGAGCTCCGTAAACGGACGAAATGTTTCTCAGGATCGAGAATAATGAACTTAACCTTTATATTAAAAGTTTTAAATATTGTATCTAGCGGGAGATGGTGGAAGGAGGGAGCTGGGGGGATGGGAGCAGCCTGGCCTCGCTGGCGGCTGGGGCTGCTGGACCCTCGTGCCATTGGGGACCCTCCGGCTGTTGGGGACCCTCCTGCCTGTAACACGGTGGCATGAAAATAAAGGAGATGAAACGTAGAGGGCAAGGGGAGGCCTGGGGGGGACATGGCTCCCTTTGTCCCCAAGCATCGTCCTCCAGCCCATCTCCCCTCAGCCATCCTGACCCCGAGGGCTGATGAAGTGTGCCCATTAATGGCTGATTAACGGAGGGCCACCAGGGTGCTGGGAGGGCTGGAGCCCCTCTGCTGGGAGGGGGGGCTGAGAGTTGGGGGGGTTCAGCCTGGAGAAGAGAAGGCTCCAGGGAGACCTTAGAGCCCCTTCCAGTCCCTCAAGGGGCTCCAGGAGAGATGGGGAGGGACTCTGGATCAGGGAGGGGAGCCATAGGACGAGGGGGAAGGGTTTTAAGCTGAAAAAGGAGAGATTTAGGTATATATGGGGAAGAACTTGTTTGGTGTGAGGGTGGTGAGAGCCTGGCCCAGGTTGCCCAGAGAAGCTGTGGCTGCCCCATCCCTGGAGGGGTTCAAGGCCAGGTTGGAGGGTGACCCCGAGGGCTGATGAAGTGTGCCCATTAATGGCTGATTAACGGAGGGCCACCAGGGTGCTGGGAGGGCTGGAGCCCCTCTGCTGGGAGGGGGGGCTGAGAGTTGGGGGGGTTCAGCCTGGAGAAGAGAAGGCTCCAGGGAGACCTTAGAGCCCCTTCCAGTCCCT